AGAGTTAGACGAGGATCATGTGCAGTCCATCATGGACTCCATGCTGAAACATCCAACTGGGGATCATCTTCCCTTCGTCGGCCTCATCGACCCTGGCCAAGCCAGTCGCAAAGAAGAGGTAGATCTAGCGGCGCTGAAAAATGGCCACTACGACATTTTCGTCCTTGGTGGCAACCACAGTCGGGAGGCTAGGGAACGATTGTCATGCATGAACCCCGACAACGACGACTACAAACAATGTCTGCTATGTTTACGTTGGCCTCACGGTCGACGAGGCGAGGCAGGTTGCCCACATGCACAACCTCGCCGCCGGCTACCATCGAGACTACAGCTTCATCGAGAAGCTCAGGTGTTGGCGACAAGTCTTTGAGTGCATGGGGTCTGTCAAGTCGGCAGAAGTTAAACTCATTTGCTTGAAAGAAGCTATGATTCCGAACGCGGCGAAGAAATTGGGAGCCCAAGATGCGTTGCTGCAGTGTGCTTTCAAGCCCAAAGAAATTTGGGACCTCATGTACAAGATAATGAATATGTGGCAGAAGGGTGAGGTCAAAGGCCAAAAACTGAAGCCGGCAACGAAAAACATCCTGAAATCGGATCAGGATCTGGAATCGAGCGAGTCGGAGGACGGAAAGAAAAGCCAGCGTGTGAAGAGGGTTGAAAGGGCAGCTGCGAAGGAGCAAGAGATGGCTCTTTTGCACCCTCCGGTGCAAATGCAGGGTAACAAAGTCCCCATGGTCGCCGACGACATGCCCGTGCAACATTGGATAGCCATGGGTAGTATGGCTCAAGAGCACGCCGTCCCTATCCTCCTTGAGATGGAGAAGAAGTTCCAGCTTGTCAAGCAAGTCGCGTACGTCTGCAAGGCCTTCGMAGTGGGGGTGGGTTGTGCTGACTTCAAGGAGGCCGAGAAAYASTATCCTCTCCACACGAAGAAAGACATGTTGGAGAAGTTTGTCAGTGGCGTCAGGAGGGGTCAGAAGAGTATCCCCGCACTGGATGGCTATATTAAAAGGGCTTTGGACTGGAAGAGTAAGGAGAGGAGACTGCAAGCAAAGGAGGCTCTTCACGCGTTCCGTTCGACACCTCTCACGGAGCCCTTCGTCGACTGGACGGAGGTGAAACATGAGAACGACGCGGCGAAAGTGAAGATTATCAACAACGACATACGCCTGCTGTCAAAGCTGGAGACGGAGAAGCTGCCAATATCTCTGGCGATTTTCGACTTCCCTTATGGCTTCGCGCACGAGGGACATGCGTCTGATCATGAGCTGTTTCCGGAGTCGGACGGAGGTTCTTCAGAATCTGAAGGACGTGTCTAGTGCCCCCTTGTGGACAGTTGCGGGATTCTGCTCAGTGGACATGCTTCCTTCCATTTGCTCCGCGTTCAGAGAAGTTTGCAATGCAGGGTAGGAGCTTTTGACGTGGTGCAAGCCCAATGTGATGAATCCCGGTGGGCCTCGACTTGTGAGTGCGACGAAATTCTGTGTGCTGGGCTACTACAGCCAGACTGGGCAGCGCGAGATGGCGCACTGCAACTTTGATCCTACAGATCCGCGTCACTACTTCCAGCTCTTTAATGTTGTGACGCAGAAGTACCAGCACCCTAGCGGCAGTGTCCTCTGCGCGTACCAAAAGCTGTACAGTTTGTACTCCTGGCTTGTGAAAAAATTTTCTCCTTCGGGGGCCTGCATTCTGGACGGTTTTTCCGGCTCTGGCACAGGCACCATTGCGTGTGTCAATGCGAATCGGAATTGCCTCGTGGTGGAGATAAACACAAAGTGCGCGAAGGGCATCGCGATGAGGCTTCTGACAGACATCGATGACACACTCGCATGTGAAACGCCGAAGAGGAAACAAAAGGCATCGCAAGGCAGCTCGGCCTCGAACCTGTTTGGGGATGCGGAATCTGCCGGTATTGAGCTTGTGGTCGACGGGGACACGGGCACTGCTGCTGGAGTGGCGCGGATCGTCGGGCAGGGCGCACCAGTAGTTGTCGGGCCGTCTTGTGTGCAGAAAACTGCTTCCGGGCCATCTGCTGAGCCTGCTTCCAGACCATCTGTTAAGCCTGCTGAACATGGTGCCGGGCAAGCCGGTGAGCGGCCACGTGTTTCCAGCGAGCCTGCTCCCGTGCCTGTTCCTAAGGCTGTTCCCGATGCTGGACCTGAGGCTGAGACGCAACTTGTGGTCACGACTGCTCCCGCTTCTACATATGTTCAGCAGACTATCCTGAGCCTCGCCTTGAGCCAGGATTCAGACAGAGCGACTGCTGGCGGCAGGAGAGGGCGCAAACGAAAGGGCGGTGGCGAAGAGGTACTGAGTCCACCGGGGGGGGTAACGATTGCCCTCAAGGCCAACACTCGCTCACGAATTGGGAAGTGAGTGTGGTTGCAGCCCTGTGCCCACCTCGGCTGAGGGGACAACGCTTCATTTAGATATAGCCCTATATGACAGTGTGTGGACACGCACTCGCCGTATAGACCTATATCACATGCGTTGCCTCGAAGTTCGAACCTCTATCCCACGTGTGCTGCCAACCACGAGAACGCCCCCGATGATAAAAAGGGATCCAGGAGTTGCCCTTTGTTGATGTTGAATGACGATTTGCTTAGTACATTCCGGTCAAAGAGCCGAAGAAGGATCGACGACGATCTCTGTAGCAAGGATTGCTCCTCTCGCGTTTGGTGCGAGAAGAGAAACTAAGCTTTTTCGTCGGCAAGTCTCCTGTTATCATCGAATGATGATTTGCTTGGCACATTCCGGTCAAAAGACCGAAGAAGGATCGACAATGATCCATGTGGCAAGGACGGCGCCTCTCGCGTTTGGTGCGAAAGGAGAAACCAAGCTTTATCTTGTTCTCATCGCGGTTCCAAAATGAGTCTTCCTGTGGTTCGCACTGCTTTATCAATTTTATCTGGATCTCTCGCCCGGGACTGGTCGTGGTTACCTTGCCGTTGGAGCAGTGTGGTCTGGAACACAACTTTGTTTTCTGTGGTACTGTTATTGTGTACAATAGGCTGCCTCCTTAGTCTGGTTTAGTAGATTATCAGTTTCGAGAGTGTCGTTGTTATTGGGAACCATGTGTTCCGTTTAGGGTGTGGTCAGAAATTTAGACCGCAGCAGGTCAACAGTTTTGAGAGTGCCAGAGTTGCCAGGAACCATGAGTTCCACTCGAAGTAGTTTTGGCGTATGCGTCGTAATTTTGGGGGACAAGGCGTAGATTAGTTCGCTTTTAGAGTTAGTTGGTGGGCTGTTTTTGGTTTAGTTTGTTTGCCCAACTTTGATAACCATCTCGTTTTCGTTTGGAAAGAACTTCTTATTCAATTGCATTTGCCTCCTCGATTGTCTACGACTCTCTCTCTCTCTCTCTCTCTCTCTCTCTCTCTCTCTC